TCAAGGTACAGACAAAGCTGCTGGTGATTACAAGAAATGCAGTTTTCCCCCTGAAAATATTCCCTCTCTCTGCTGGATTCTGGTCCTTGCATCACCTCTCCGTGCTGGCAACATCAACTGGGCTCACACCTCAAACAAAAGCCAGGTTCTCCCAGGAGACTAACATAAAGCATTACTAAAAATCCAGTGGAAATATTTACTGTGGGGACTCCCTGGCAAAACTAGCGCACTGCTCAAGCATCGAGCTGAACGTGTGACTGTGGCGTTTGTCAAGGCTTCCTGGTCTGTTTGTTTTTCCTTCTAACTTCACTTGATTGCCAAGAAATGAATAAAACACCGTCAGCAATGGGGTTGGAAGGGGTGACTTTAAGGCATTTAGAACCCATTGAAAAGAAAGGACACCGTGGGAAAGCAGGCGTGTCATGACTGAAAACACCAAAGCTTGTTTCCTGGGACTCTTCCTACATTTGGTGCTAAGCAGCTTGCAAAATTACGCTCTTGAGATTTTTTTTTAATCTCTTTCAAAAGGTTATTCTAGTTATTTCACTATCAATAGCAGCATCCTCTTCATAATCATCCACACAATACCATAATCGCACACTGTGCTTTACAAATGGAAAGCTTGAGAGCAGAACTTTCGCCCGGTTCAGAGAGGCCCAGCTATTACTGATACTAAAGAACCTACAGTTCTTCAAAGGCTAAATTTAGCTCCTATTTTCTGGCCTAAAGAGCTTGTGGTCTACAAGCCAGTTTCAGCAACACCTTCTTTCACACCTGCTGTCCCAGCTATAGGAAAGGAAAGAAAAAAAAAGAAAAACACAACTGTGAGAGTTGAATACTGCTCATGAGAAGGACCAGGAAACACAAGATTTGGCAAGAAGAAAGAAAACACAAGTCCCCAGCATGTCCAGAAAGCTGACTGCCCCTGAGTCCCACAAAGGACGACGAGAATCCCCAAAAGCCGGGCGGTGAAACACGCCTCTGCTCAGACAGTTGTGCTCACAGAACAAACATCGAGTGGGAAGCACATGCACAAAGATGACTTTCCGATGCAATCTCAGCTCACATTAAGTTGTTTGCTGCCCGAGAACCAAATCCTCCTCGGAAACCCGGGTAGACACGTCCTGTTACAGTGATCCAATTTCCTAAGAGGAGCTGCATCACCTCCGGCACTGCTTGTCAGGTTTCATGTGTTAAAATAGGTTGGGATGGGTCAGTATTGCTATGGGAGGACATCAGGATGATGTAAGGAAAGGTAATGGCACTCTTCCTTCTCTGACTCATTACCATGCAGTAATAAGCCAGAAATAGACCTTGGTGACAGCAAGGGGGATGAGGACTTGAACATGGACTCTCTTGCGGCATTTGTCATGCCTAACACTACAGATACACGAGGGATTCTCTGGCACCACATGCTGACATCCTCTCAAAAGGACTGTTGGAAAAGAATTTCCACCTGAGGGATATGCCAGTTGTCTGAAATTTGCTTCCGTTTCAAATCAGTGAAGTGTAAGTTGGAAATTCAAGTTTGTTCTGCAAAATGAAAGATCGGGAAAGCTGGTGATTTGGAGCAACGAAGCTGCTTCATTTTACATCAAACTATGTTAATAGTATCCCATAGTATTAAAGAATTTCCAATCCAGCATGTGTAAAAACATGTATCAAACCATGAAATTGAAATTGATCAGAAAGACAAAATAAATCAGGAGGTGGTCAAAACAGTCCATTTAAACATCTTTAACTATCTACTTATCTATAGATACAAAACCTCATTTAGATCAAGTCTTTGAAAAAAGAAAAAGCAGATCTCACATAAGGGCACTTGAGAAAAAAAAGTGCTGGGAACACATTTTGGACTAGTTTGACTTGCTCCGCTATCATACACTTCCTGATACCAGGGTTGGACATGACATCAGAGTGTGCTGCTGCTCAGACTAGCAGGGCAGAAGTTTGTTGAAGTCTCTCAGAAATCTGGAAATAACTTAAGTATGCAAGGGCTAACTTCTCAGCATCTCCGTTTCCCAGCATGTCAGGGAACACATCTTTTGGATACTTGGACTCTTTGTCACATATACAAGAGAACTTCTGCTGAACTCAACTACTTGACAAATCCAGCTTTTGCAACTAGATTTCTTAAGTGCACTTAAACGTAGCTTTTAGTACTGTTTTGGATTTGTGAATACACATTACAACTGTATAAGGGAAATCTATTTTTGTACTCCCTCCGACCTGACCACATTTGATGAATCGAGACACTACCAAGGACCAAGTCATACTCAAAACATTTTTAAAGTTTGTATTTTCAATTATGTTGAAATTCCCATAGTTATAATGTAATCTGATCCAGCCTGCTCAGCCAGTCAGCAATAAATATAACAGAAGCCCAGCTCACTCCACTTCTTTCCCCGTTCCTATGAGGTTACATAAAGACACTGATCTTTTTGAAGAAAATACCAAAGCATCCACGCCAAGATGTTACTTTCTCACAAATCCAATTATTTCTGTGTTTGGTTTGTTGGTTCTTTTTGGTTTTTTAAAGAAAAATGGCAGGCTGCTCCAGATTAAAGTCTGCACATCCTACCAATTTCCTTTAAACATGCCAGGGAGCTGTGAGTTCAAACTTTATCTTGCTTCCTATTAAGCAGGCCCATAAAGGCAGCTACCATAAACTACAGAATACAGACTCAGAAATGGAATTTGGAAGGGCAGATGTAACTATTCTAGCTGCTGAAACAGATACAGACATGAATGCTAGTACCACCGAAGGAATTTAAGGGAAAAACAGAGTCAAAATTATCACAAGAAAAGAAATCAAAAACATCCAACCTGACAAATTAGTTTCTTTAATTCAATTAATGGATTAGGCAAGGAAGATTTTGTCAATAACGAGGACCCTAATCTAGCTCTTGGGAAACCACGGCTCATCTTCCTGTCTTCCCCAATGTCATGAACAGCAGAGACTTTTCAAATCACAGAATCAGGACTTAGGTGGACTTGCAGCAGCCTGTCTGAAATTCAGACTTCCTCCACTCCCTGGGTGACGCCTAAAACCAGTAAGTTGTTCCAAGCCAGAGAAATTCACTAAGCATGGAGCGGAGGCATGTACAGATGCTCCATGCACAATGGGACACATGCCTGTACTTCAAGGATATGTGAAAGACACACAAATGCCACCTATGCACCAGGAGAGTCCACAAAGTTACATACTCTCAGGTCAGCACAAACACCATTGGGATTAAAATGGGGGAAGGGCTGCAGCCCCCTTTTACAGGGCTGTAAAACCCCAGGGTTACACCAGTGAAGTAAATGAAAGGGAGCTCCAGAAATACACTCCACAAAGGATGTGGCCACGAATGTTTCCATGTACACCTCTACCCATTTCAGAGTGACGGTCTATTTGCTATGCTGAAAATCATCAAAACCTCACGATATTTTTATGGCATTCCAAAACCATCCCAAACCCTGAGCACAGGAACCACGTGAAGGGCTCAAGGCAAGAACTGTGTTCTCTGGGCTGCTGGTCAACAGCTCTGTGCACAGACAGACCCATCTGAAACAAAGGCAAAGAAGGGCTGGACCTAGATGGACCTAAGACTAGCAGGACCTAGAGTTAGTCACACTGGCTTCCCAATTCAAGAGTCAACTTGGCTGTTCCACATCTCTACAGAAGCCTTCAGTATGGAAGGCAGGGACCAGCCCAGCACCAAGCCTCGCATTATTGAACGAGACTGCTGGGGTTATTCTTCTCATGATGTGCAAGTAAAGCCACTGCAGAAGAACAGAACGAAACCCTCCACAGATATCGATGGTGTCACATACTTTGTGGCCCTACAGGGGTTTTTGCAAACAATTCACCACCAAGAAATAATGAAATTCTGGACCGTGCATCACTGATGAGTGTAACGTGTCTCTTGGACAAATGATCCAACAGACATGGTCATCACAGTCACTAATGTATCATTCAGTACATTCCCGTCATTTTATCTATTTGACATCAAAAGTGATACAGTTAAAGAATGTGTGTGTGTGCACACCCAAATATACAAGCTCTAATATAACGAATCCTTTAGAGTTGTTCATATTTTTTCATGAAAAAATTTCCTTGTTAATTTTTCATAAGTGATCCACAGCTTAAACTGCACATTTTCTGCAGAAGTCGCTCACCCAGGCTGCTTACAGTCCTGCCTGCACGTAACGCACACACACACAATAGTCATGGATGTACATTCAACTGAAAAAGCAAATTCCCAAAGGGTAACAAATTGTCTTTGAAACAATGTTGAGAACTATGGTAAGAGTTAAGTTGGAGTCAATTCAGTCTTTTTAAATTATGAGTGTTCAAAGTTCTTTGGGGGCCAAGCAGCTGGATTTTCAGTTGTTTTTCCTTCCCTACTGTAAAGCAGTTCCAAAGCAGTGCTTTTCTGTCACTAAAACTTGCAGTGACCTAAGGACTCCCACAAAGCCTCACAAGTGGATGAAGAAACCTGGAGTAGCGTAAACATAGTGTCTTCTCTTTGAAAACAACATTTAGAGAACTAGCATGTGTAGGTACCCATAAATATATACTGAAATCCTCCAATGAAGATCAAATATCTTTTAAAAAAGATAGACGTTAGTTCTGATGAAAGTTATGGGTTTCCTATACGAACTGAAGGATGACATTTTTAACTTGTTTCATGCAGGAATAAGACTATATGCAAAAATACAGTTCCTCCAGGCCTGCATCAATGTGCCTTTCAACAGAACACTATTTTAATGCACAAAATCAGCAAGAAGATTTAATCATTATGACCCAAAATTTCCATTCTGACTGTTAAACGACATGAAGAGTCTCAGAGTTATCACCCTGAGCAAATTTTCTGGTGGTTAGATAATTTGACAGCACTGAGTTCTCTGCCTTTTCTGAGTCCATCTAATTAAGATTTTGTGCATCGTAAACAGAAGTTAAAGGAGAGTCATAGTAAGAAAGAAAGAAAATGGTACTTGTGTGTTTACTGTACCTGCAATAAGACAGTACCCCCCGGGATAGTGAGCTGTAAACAGTACTTTGGGGCATTCTCCCAGGAGAGCAGTTGAACATCTTCAATAGCACTGTAGGAAATGGAGTTTTCCATGTACCCAGTTGGCTGCAAGAAAACAAAAGAAAGGAAAAAAAACTGTTTACTTAGTCATCAGAAGTTTCACAATTTCAAAGTAAGAACAGCACTATCAAAACTACTGTTGAAAATATCCAAAAAATGTTTAATTTAAATGCAAAATTCCTATAGAGGCCATTCAACAGAGAGATCCACCCAGCCACCTTCATCCAACTTGTTCAAGTGTTACGATCACTTACATAAAACCGAAAACAAGTCAGACCTAATGTCCAAAGTATGAAAATTTCAAACTGCATTTGTTCTGGACCCCAAGCCAGGGGAACCTAATTCCAAGCTGAACTGAGCTCTGAAGGGGTCCAGCCATGCACATGCTGTCAATGTATGAAGCAGCATCTCAATCACTCAGACAGAACAGCAGGGTACTATATTAAGATAGTTTTACTCCACGCGTTCTTGTTCCTCTCCCCGGCTGCAAGGTTGATCAAGCACACCATCAAGACCTACGCTGCTACATTTGACAGTGGATCTTGGGAATCCAAAGACTCAGCAGCTTTTAGACTCGAGTGAAAGCAGAGCAACACATCTCCTCACCTCAGCCTATACGTGAGTACTGGTTTCCTGTACAGACTGCCGATGCCCAGTTTAAAGGGAAAGTCACAATTAAAACATAAATAATAACTGCTTTGCAATTACATGTAAAACATGTATTGATAGTAGCAAGGAAACAAACTTAAACACAAGGCTCCTTATTAGTATCCCCAGAATTCTTAGGCATTACAGAAGTACAATCATCTATAAGATCAACTGAAATATAAATGTATTTATGAAGGCACATGTAAAAGTATGTCCTAAACATAACTAATAACAGAGAGATACAGCTGTGTATCTCCAGAGCATGCATACATACACCGTATTTTATGCAAGTCTTCCTGTTGTTTAAGTAATGTGAGTATTCAACACAGGTCCTCAAAGATATTATTTATCATGCTTTGCTATAGCATAAGCAAACTGATCAGCATTGCTATGGCAGATAAATTATTTTGATTAAAAAATGATTAATCCCACCACATGGATAAGTCCTTGGGTTGGTCATGTCTTGCAAGAGAATAGAGCTCATTACATTGACGAATTATTTTCTATTACTGGTTTACATATAACTTAAACTTCTCAAACTTACTCCCACTGTGCCCAATGAAAGTTATTTTTAACTGATAGTGTTGAAATAAAGAAGGTAAGGGAGAAACCACATCTATTTCGGGGTCAAACAAGGCCAGCTCTTACAATCACAACACAGGATTCCTGGGGGCAAGTGTGAAATAAGCAAATCGCATTTGCAATGTCTCTACTTCTAACTGGTACAACCTCCTTCCAGAAGTGAAGTAGGTGGTGCGTCTGGAAATCGTACTTTGAAGTTATACACTTCATACATGTTCATAAGGCCATAAACGTCATCTGCCAAAATGCAACGATGGCTCTGCGAGCCACCTTTGCTGCTACAAAAAGCCAGTTGCCTTTCCTGTAAGAAGTACCCAGCAACCAAGTAACCCAACTCCAGCATCTTTTTCGTAACGTTTCTTGCGGTATCATTCATTTTACAGCAGCCCTCGCTGAAAATAATTTTCGCCGTCTCTTTAACGAAACCCTTGTTATGCAGGAAGTGTGATAAACTTCTGCTTATTCATTTACTCACAGTATTGTTCTACACTGGTGACTGGAATCCCAGTAGCTTACCGCTGATGTCGTACGTCATGTGTTGCCTACTGGAGACTAATTATCTCGTTCCAACAGGAGGCCAAAGGCCCAAGATCCTTCAGTAATCAGCATTACAACACTCAGGGAAAAATATTAAAACAGCCAGCATAAAATCTAGTATGCTCAGGAGGCCAAGTTATCAACAACGTGCTCTCAAAGACTGGAGAAGGGAGAAATCCAGAACCAGCTGACGCAAATGTAAAATGAAATGAATCAAAGCAATTTAAATTTCTCTCTTAAGAAGGTGCTGACTGCCCTTAATACCCTCCATTAACTTCAAAGAGGATTTGAAGAATTCTCACAGAATCTGTTCCCAAGAGAAGCCTCTTCTATACCTTAAACCACCCATTTAAACAGCATTAAAGACAACTGATCCAGTTCAGTCACAGCTCTGCAGCCATACACATACACAAGTGATTTCATCCCAGGCACAAATCTCTTGTCACAGGACAGTCCTTTTCGCTAAGGAGAACAGAGAAACACAGAGTTCTGCCATTTGGAAAGGATGGGAAGACTACCTAAACCATAACATGGCATTGCACAGATGGCTAATCTCTCGAAATGAAAGCATTATGCCAGTGAGGTTGCACTTATGATCCCACCTTCACACCTTCTACCTGGCCACACCACACACAAAGCTTTACTACAGTTGTTTGGTATCTTACTCAAAAAACATAACCCCAATCTACTTTAATCCCTATAAATTACAAGGTATGTGTTGTTTCCATTTTCATTAAAAACACTATGTTCTAGGAAGTGAAATATTTTCAATTCTGAAGATACCAGCTATAGGCAGCTTCACCTGTGTTTTGCAATTAAAAGAGTCTAAAGCAAGTACATTTATCACTGTGTAGAGCTCCTCAAAACTGTGCTTTTGGACACTGTCAAGCACTGAAGACCGTGCTCCCACAGCAGGGCTGTGCAGAAGTGCCTTGAAGCAGCAGTGAAACGGAGCCATCCTCGGCCCCAAGGCTTCCTGAACAGAGGCACAGAGACCTCAGCACCGCCGAGGTGAAGGTCAACCCCGCACGACAGCATCCGTCCTCTCCCTGATCCCTGCACACACACAGATGGGAGGACGGAGCGGTGGCCCCAGTTGTGTTTTCTCAAGACCAAGCACAGTTCAGCTGTTTATCAGGAAACGGCCTGAGGTAAAACCACAGCCTGAGTCACTGGTTCCTCTTAAAACACAGGCTATTTTGACATTCAGGTATGCAAACGTCAATCACAGTGAATCATTGCGGTGGATAAATAAGCAGTGCAAGTGTTGCATGTTCTCATGTTCTAGCTGGTCTTGCTCGCACACCCTGCCAGGAGCTGCATCCTCACCCCCGGGTCGCTCCATGGGAACGACAAATTAGAACAACACGTACGACAAGAAATAGGGACTCAAGAGATTTGAAAATACCTAAAACAAGACAGATCCTCAGTGGGTCACCACGAAGCATCTGGCATCAATACCAGCCTTAAGCAGCATTCCCACCTCATCCATCCACTCTGCCTCTGTCCAAACAAGTATTTGTCTGGCTGTGGTATCAGCCAGATCAGGAAGCCTACCCTGCTTTTGCTAGATTACTTTTTAGCTCCTTCGTTCTTACTTCCAACGCGAAACAGAAACCAGTACGTTAACACAACTTAGGGACTAGCATATCATGGGGAAAGAAGTGAGCAGTGAGGATCTAATATTTCAGTCTTCTTCTATGAGACAGTCTAGAGTCACAGCATCTTTGAGCAGTAATACATCAAGTTCAGCTGAAAATGCCTTTATTTGAGAAAATAATAATTCTTATTTTTATAACTGTCATTTTTGAAAGGAGATTTATATTTCTTGGCAAAGTCTGAAATCTATCAAATGAAGCCAGAAAACGCCAGATAACGCACTTTTCGCCTTCACTCTACAAAATTAATCCTGACTTAGGAAACTTTGGCCAGAGAAGCTACATATGTCAGCTTACAGATTTACGGTTACAGTTCTAATTTCTCGCTGTTTGCTTTAGAACATGACCTGAAAAACTGTAAAAGACTCATAAATGAAAATGAAATTTATTACAACAAACAAAACCCCTAAGTGAAGGGAATATTTTTCTCTTCACATTAGCCTTTAGCCTCTTAACGAAACATGCAACTTCTCCGTTGGGAAATCAGGTATGTTTTAACATCAGTGAGAACTTTGTCTTTTTTGAGATTCAGCATAAAGATTTATTAATCATACAGCTTTGGAACAGCTTCGTACCCAAACAGCCACACGCCAAAACCTACTATAAATTAAATCTTAGGGGAATCCAGTCCTCCCAAAAGAAGAACATGCAGGCTCACGCATAAGGGTAGTTTTCTCTTAGCATTTCTGGGAAAAGTCAGCAGCAGCAGACTACTCAATAATGCAAAAATCTGCCCACTTGTTTCCATGGGAAATTCTAAAAGGGGGAGAATATAAACATGACGACCATTGTTAATATGAGGCTTGTATGCACTTACTCATATAACAGTGTACTAAATCTTCAGCTGCATAAGCGTCTAGAAAAGATGAATTCCACAAATAGAGACGGTTATTTGCATTAAAACATATTTAGACTGACAACTCCCACCAACACAACAACAATGAAGAATGATTCTCCCAATTAAATACTCCAGATGGTGAGGGGAAACTGGGCTGTTCCAGACCCTTGCTCTTCCACTGTCAGGTGCTTATTTCTCTCTTGGCTGCTCTTAAGAATGAGCCTTGCTGCTGCAGCCCAGGATGACAGGCATACTGTATTACATATAAGTTTTCCATACCCAAATAGGATTCAGCCCTGCTGAGCAACATTTAGGAAGAGTTGATTGCTCTCAGAACTTTGATGGGGGTGGAGACTATTCAGTTGGCACACTGAAGGGTAATGGACTCTGAAACTGCTGAAAACAATGGATGATTTGAAATAAATCTCTGTTAGGAGACATCCGTGGCTCCAGAGAACGCCCCTGCAAATGTAGCTATTTCAGATAAGAGCAATTAACATCTTTGTTCATTAACTATATAACCTATCAGAAGACATTTATCAAGTTAAGCAATTAGTAGTACTACGCCATAATATGCAGCGCGGTACAATTTGTCTCACTCTTGATACGGGAGAATTTACTGCCGTGCTCACTTGTCATAATGACTTGAAAGGGTTTAAAGTCACAGAGATTAAAGTGATAAGAAAACAGACAGAAAGACTAACAGTGGGGAGACACCTAACTCTGCCCCAAAGCTGCACAAAGGAATTTCTGAGCTTCCTTGGAGAAGCATTCTCA